GGTTCTACTGGACGTGGGGTTACGGAGCACTTTGGAATCGAACCGGAACATATTGATCTAATTACAGGTTAGCCTAGGTCAATTTTTGTACCCCTGCAAAAGTTGTTTTTATGTCCTTTTTCTGTATCATTTACCTTCCAAACACCACAGCACTCACTGTCGCAATACACAGATACGGTGTATACTTAATTTTTTATATAATAATTGTTAGCAAAAAGTAGTTTCAATTTCTTAATTTTGTGTTTCGAGTAAAGGAATCGTCGTCTCCATTTAGCTATCTATGCTAAGAGATTACTATCCTTCAATTAAATTTTGTGAGTATTATGTAAAATTCTGATATAGAATATCACGAAGGCTTTTCCAATTTAAAGGTTCTCTCGAGTTAGCCGTTGGAGTCTTCGGTGGTTTCTGTGCCGGCTCTAAATTTGTGGTTGATCATCAACGGTTATCAGGCCAAGGTTATTGTTTCTCCGCTTCTCTTCCTCCAATGTTAGCTGCTGCTGCGACCACAGGCCTCGAATTATTGATTAAAGAGCAGGGATCCAGACAAAGCAAGCTTCGAAATCTTGCTGTTATATTAAGCCGGCGGTTTGCATCTTCCGGACCAGATAGTTTGTCAACTTACTGGCAGACTGATGTGTCAGGTAAAATAATTTATTCAGCTCTTCTTTTTCACTTCCTCAATGACTGTTTAAATAATTATTTTGAATTTGGACTAAATATTGAGTGAACTCATCAATCTCTTGTGAAATTTTTACGAAGCTTACTTCACATTATATCACGTGGATATTAATGATATATAACTTTGAATCTTCTAAAGATAATTCCTATCGTATCCCATCTCATGTTAGTCAAAATACCTGTTGGATATATGCTTTCCATTCCTAAATTGTACCGATTTTTTTATCTTGCTTCCACATTAGACTTGTTCTATTTCCATAATAGAGACAGTTTAGTGACTAGTTGATTGTTAACTCTGGTTGTAATAAGCTTGCATTTTTGGTAATTTGTAGCTTGAACATTGATCTTGATGCCTTTTGTCGTTTCACACCTACAATTATATATTTTATTCGAAGGCATGAAGACCATGATGATGGGGGCTTTTGTGTGGTCGCAGTCTCCTTTCGTTGTATAGATGTTGTTTGACTTTGTTTTCGCAACTTGGTCATATTGATAGGAAGACTTAGAGGAACGCACCTAGTCCGGAGTCCATTGCATGCATGATCATTTCCAGAGTAGGACCGTGGACGTGGTACGTTCCCAGACGTTTCGCCGGCATCGTCAGTGAGTCTTGCCATTCTAAGCACCACACAACAACTCGCCAAAGCGACAAGTGAAGCCGATTCTTTGACCAAACGTGTGCTAAACAGTTGTGATATCTCCCCTTTTGTCTTGGTTTATTCACATTTCCTATATCCTCCTATCACACCTTCACTCTTACAATTTTTATCTTGCTTAATTAAATCTAGTGTGATGTGACTTTTTGAGCGGCTTTCATGAGAACCCTCCGCACTCCACGCTGGTATTTTCACACCCCTTCACCCTTGTTCTGGCAATGTTTATAAGATTCTGCCATATTGTTACGCAGTCCTTCTTCCCTAGGTCTTATCAGTCCCCCTTCTGCCCCGTAGAATCCGTCTGCTATCGCTCTGGTTCAGGCATTTCACTCGGCCTCTGCAACCCCATATGTGCTACTCGAGGCATTATTTTCTACACTCAGTCTGAGCGGCTAATTCGAGGCTAAAGCCTCTGAGTAAGACCTATGGTCACGTCTTTGCTACATGGACAACGTCTCTGGTAAAACCTACTGTCAGCCAACTAGCTTCAGTCTCCACCCCGCCTATCCTGTTTCTATCCCTAATACCAATTCTATGACTTGGTTCGGCATTAAACCTAATCAAAACAAGCAGTAAAACAACATATGTGGGTTGGCACACAAGAGACTAGGGCATGGGAAGTCATAGACTTGGTTTTAGGGATAGAAACATGATAGATGCGGTGGAGACTAGAACTAGTTGGCTGAGAGTAGGCCTGTTTTATCATAGAGGTGGTCCATAAGCAATTGCTTGACCATGATAATTACTCGATGTCTCTAGCCTCAAGATAGTCTATCATACACAGTGTGTGAAAAATAACTCCTCGATTATCACAGATGGAGTGGCAGGAGTCGAGTGAAATACTTGAACCAGGGAGATAGCAGACGGAGCAAGAGGAAGACTGTGATATGACCTATGAAAGGAGGATTGCCTAACAATATGGCAGACTGATCAACATTCCCAACACAAGGGTGAATGGGGGTGAGAACGCCAGCGTGGAGTGCGGAGGGTTCTCATGAAAGCCGCTCAAAAGGTCACATCACACTGGATTTAATTAAGCAAGATAAAAATTGTAACAGTGAAGGTATTATAGGAGGATATAGGAAATGTGAAAAGACTAAGTCAGAAGGGTAGATACCACAACTGTTTAGCACACGTTTGGTCAAAGGATCGGCTTCACTTGTCTCTTAAACGACTTGTTGTGTGGTGCTAAGAATGGTGAGACTCAATGACGATGTCGGCGAAACGTCTGGGAATGTACCACGTCCACGTTACTACTCTGGAAAATGATCATGCATACAATGGACTTCGGACTAGGTGCATTCCTCTAAGGTCTTATTTGAAAAGCTTCCATACTGTTCATGGAATGATAAGTCCCACTTTTATTTGATACCCTTACATGATGTTGATCCAAGTACAAAGAATCAATCTAATCTCACTGCCATTTATTATGGATACCGAGTTGGTTACGAATTAATATTGAACTATGGCTTGATTGTAAAGCCAGTTCCTTAAAATGTATCACTTTGGACCCAAAATCTCTGTTTTCACCCTATCTAATTTGGCGGGAAATTATTAACTTCCAATCCTAATAAATGTACTTAATCTATATTAAAGTTCATTACTATAATTTTTTTGACCCTTGGCAATGTTTTGAAATAGTACCGACTTGTTAGTAGACTTCCAAAAGAATTCTTGTTGGCCTTATATTTTAAACATTTTTGCCATTTATTTTAGCATTATGCTATTCAAGTCATGTTGAAAGGTTTATCATCGGAATGCCCAACTTTAACTTTCATTATATACATTAGCCTAAACTACTTCATTGTTAATCATTTGACATTTTATATCGCATAACTGTCATTTTATCTTTTTTGTCCTTTTATTTTTCCCAGAGCTATCTGCCGAGATTCCAGTGAAACACATTCGTTTACAAAAGAATAACAGTCTGCTTCGACTAGAGCAAGCAGTTCAGTTAGCCGCAGCCTGGCCATTCCTAGAATCAGTGACCAGCAAGGCGGCTGAAAAGACTTCTAGCATTGAGAGGACTCCTCTACTGCTCACGGTAGCCAGGTATCATTTATTTATCTGACTAATTACTTAGTCAATATTATATATGTACCCTCCTATAGTATACTTCATACGGCTGTTATCGAACTTATTAGCGCCATAGAATGTGATTTAACCACCTTGCATTATTAGGAGCAGCGTTAAATGATCTGAACGTGTACCCTTAAAACTTTTTTTGTTGCGATGTATTTATTCGACATTAATTTTGTCACTTATTCTTCAAGTGGTTAACTAGAGTCTAAGTTATGTTACGCAATCTACAAATCTCGAATACACCCTGTTTGAAAAATATTGATTTATACTATTAATTCAATTTTGTACTGCACGTACACTGCCGCTTCGCTGAACGGAGCGCTTACGCTCTGATTCCCATGCTTGCAGATATCAGGCCTTCCCTTAACGTGTCCTCGCCTTGATTAAACCCATGTTATCTGAGCAAACTGTGGAAGCCTATCTTTGGTCGCATGCGGCATCTAAAGTGGATTTCTAGTGCATTTTGGCCAGAGCTCCTAATTTCTATGACGGTTTGCTTATACGTATACCAGCTCTCTGACTGCCAGGCCCCCAAAGTTGTACTAGTTTATTCAAAATGGACATAACTCACTGACAACGTCTTTGCTTAATTCCTGAAAACCCCTTCCCTCCATTTTCGTCATCGCAATCCCTCCGGTTAGTGGCATATCCTTGATCCAGGCGTCTCCTTTTTGCTGGTATTGGTCCATTGTTTTCCTCGATTTTGCTTAGGCAATAGGCAAAGTTATCGCTAACTCTACCTTCCTCCAATCTCCTGTTCATTAGATTTGTCTCCCTTAATCTTCCTACTTCTTGTGTTGTCACCGTATGGAGCTTTCCTTTCTGTTGCCTTCCAATTGATCTCACATAGGAATCAGAGCTTAAGCGCTCCGCTCGGTAAAGCTGCAGTGTACGTGCTTCTAGGGCCTTGAGAAATAGAGCCTGGAGTGAAATGCACTCAGGGACTGAAACTGATTGAAATCGGTCAACCATAAAGATAGGGAACGGATCTACGAGACAATGTAA